CTATCTTTACAGCATCCATGTCTTTTTTGCAGCTCCAGATCAAGATGATCTATTGATTATTGATTCTGATGGTGAAGGTACTTCAAGCAATGTAGATGATGATAAGGAAAACAAAAGCCTCAAGAGAAAACTAGAAGACAAAGAGAGTGTCGCTACAAAGAGAGTGCGTACTGAGCAGACAGAAGAGGAGGATGAAATTATAGCATTAGACTGAACATGCAAATGCCCCTTGACAAAATGATTTGGTTAATGTAATACAGTTACAGTATATTGTGTCAGGATGTGAAAAATGTCCAGAACTAGACTAATTTTAAGGCCTTTGTTCAAGTGAATACCAAACCACTGGCTTAAATAATTTGTGTCTGTTTTTCTTGATGATAAAGCTCTCATCTCAATAGCCTCTTTCAAAAGTTTTTCCATATTAATTCCATATATTAAGTGTAGTAGAAACATAAATACTTACAGAAAAGTATTTGCTTAAACAGTCATGGAAAAAAGCATGTTATTTTTGTGTAAATACCTTTTAGGTATAATTCAATAGTAAAAAAAAAAAAAATACTCTTCTTTAGTAAAGGGTCATCAGCTGATGCCTAGATTTTAAGTAACTACAATTTTATTTTTTGCTTGAAGAAAAATATTGTTAGCCTAATCCTAAACATTTTTCACACCCTGAACAAGTAAAGAAGAAAGTTCAATAAAGCAAATTAGTGCCCTGTTTTAACAGTGTTCTTCATCTGGCACTATGTACATTACTGTAAAACTGTTAATTTACTCAAGTTTTTCAGCTCGTACTGCCTGGTATGTCAATGTAAGAAGCAAATTTTTGTGTATTGTTACAGTTTCAGGTTATTTATATTTGATGTTTTGTAAACTCAGATACTACTACTATACTGTACATCTGATGGACCAAATAAATGACATCTGAAATACTTGCTATATTTGCTTGCACAGTCCAAGTTTATGCTGACTTATGGGATTTTACTATGTATAGCCTTCAAAAATTACTGTATTATTTTCATTTTTCTAAGCATAACCTAGTAGTACAGAACTTAAGCTTCACTTGTTTGAGGTGAAAGGGGAATTTTTTTAATAAAACTTTTGTGAATGTTTTTTTTCTTGGACAATCAATTATTGGCCTCTTCAGTTGGAGCATTTGCACCAGCACACGCACGCTTTCACTGCCTCATCCCTTCAGAGAGAACTCACTGCTCTTCTACACGTAATACTTTGTGCACTGGACAAAAGTGCAAGGTTTAGAATCAGGATCTTGAAACCTACTGCATTTTAGGTACTTGGTAGCTCGCAGAACTATCAGTGTTGATTCTTAGAACGCGTTAATCAGCCATTTCTCTCACTTAACTTGAAATGACTTGGTGTTAGTGAACTAAAGCTGCTTCTATTAATACAGGATGCAGAGTTAGCCTTACAGAGCAGATGAACTGAGCAGACAAGATTTATTCTGTAACAGAATGAATTCCTAACTTTATAGAGTTATGTAGAAAAACCAAAACCAGCACCTTTTTAGGTTTTGGTTCCAGGTCTGGTTCTGTCTAGTACAAAGGTCAGCTCATCATCAGTATTAAATTGCAATGAAGTACAAAACTATGATTCTACAATGCAATTAATGCTTTGTTTCTTCTTTTAGGTAGTGCTAGTAATATTCAGTGGCTTGCTTGGAGGCATAATACTCCAGTATGAAACTAAATCCTTTTGAGTTAGCTGCTTCTTGACCAGCTGCACTGAAGACAGAGGTAAAGGTAAATAGGAGGTGTTACATGAAGGATATTCAGTGCTACAATTGGAAGCTTTTACAGGTCTTGCCATAAACAGTTGAAGCACTAGAATTTAATGTCTGATTACATCTTTCACAAATTAAGGCTGATGTTTTATTTTTTTAAGCTTTACTAAAAAATACTGGTTTATTACTTTTTATTTAATTTAAAATTACTATTTAAGTTAGTAGTAAAATAGCTTGTGTAGCAAGGTGTGCATCTCATTGTGACAAAGCTTTAAGCTAGTGGCATGTATAGCATGTCTTAGGGTACTGTAATCCAATTTCACTCACTGAGAAATTTCCCTGTGTGTACTAGTTGGTATGCAGGACTTTAGCTTTCTAATTGTTTTAATTATTATTTTAACAGTAGAGACTATAATACTGGTAACCATATTGCATTATTTTTTTCTGAAGTTGAGTGTGTTCATGATTTGTAAGTTGAATGGTATAAGAGCTGAATCAAAATAGCAACATCAGCAGATGTGGGGCTGAAAAAGGGTTAAGGCTATTCAGTCTCACTGGCTTCTACTCCTTTAGTTATTTGTATTCAGTGTAAAAAGACAGTATCCAAATTATTTTTAAAAATATTTGGGATGCTGCTGTCCAAGAAGGAACTCAATAGTTTCTCAGGGCAGTAGACAACTCTGCTAATAAGGACAGATTGCAAAAAATGTTGAGAATAAGCCAGGCTTTGTACCTTAGATGAGAAATATCACTGCAGGACACTAGTTAGGTTAAGTTTTAGAGAAGCATTAAGTAATTTTAAGGATGCATCATAATTTGGTTTGCAGCATGGAAGGTAGTCTAGAATCTAACTACATAAGCAATAACATCCTGAGGTATTTAGAAGATGTAATTGTGTTGCTCTTATCTGGGTAATAAGTAGTTAGATGGTCAAAAAACGCTCCTAAATCCTTCCTGTGAAATAATTTAAAGTGAATGGGTTTTAATATGTTTTTACACAGGCTGCTTCTATAGAACATATGACAGCCCGTTCATATAGTGTCAGATGTTCTATTTGGTTCTTCTTAAGTGTGGCAATACTGAATGAACCACTAAAAATGCAGACTGCTTCTGTGCTAATTGAACAAATGCTTTTCAGAACTGATGGAGTATAAATGTCCTTAATTGGCTACTAGTCACCAACATTGTGTTTATGTAGAATTTTCCAACTTAAACTTACTCTTGCTCTTGAAAGCAAGTTATAAATTGAAGCAATTATTAAGCTTTCATGTAATTAGAAAAAAAGGCAAACCACTTTAAACTGACAATTTGTTCAAGACTTGATAGCAATAATATTATTGTGGAAGGAAGTGTAGTTGAAAGACAGAAGTCAGTGTTAAAATGGAGGAGAAATTACACCCAGTGCTTCAGCTTGGCAAGCCTGATGTAGGTTGTGTCTTCACTAAAAATTTTTGAGTTAGGCTTGTTAAAAAAGTACAAATTTCTATTTGCAGTGATACAAATTGGATCTTCTGTCATGCAGCTTTATCTCATTTGTTTACACTGATGCAAATTTCTGTAGTGCAGATAAACTTCTCTGGCTGCTTTTCATAGTAGCAATTCATTCTTGACATCTGTGTTTTATTTACTTAGAAAATTTCAGTGCCGTATATGAAAAGGACAAGAGAAATCGTGAAATATTTTAGTGTAGTTGCAGCTGAGAGTGTATATAGTATCTGTGTATGCTGTTAGTTCAATATCCCTTTTCTGCTATGGTGCATGGAAAGGAATATTGACCACTATTGATATATAAGTTAACTAGAGATTCCTTAAGCTGCTCTGACTTAAGGTGAATAGATTTCTAATTAATTTCCCACAGTCGTCTTATCTAAAAAAAAAGGAGAAAAAAAAAAAAAAGAGGGAAAAAAAAGCAAGCAAGCAGAAGTGAAACCTATCCGATGCTTAGAGCATCTAGAGAATCACCCTTGAGGGGCAATTGATGGAGAGTTCTGAAGAAAGAACTTTTGGGGCCAGGATGACAGGGATCCCTGTACCAGCCCGTTCCCTAACAGATAACTTTAACCTTTAGGTAATTATTTAATGTTTGTACTTGTTCTAGGTGACATTTTAATTTTACCTTACGACACCATTTCATAGTTGAACCACAGAAAGAGATGCATGCTTTCCTGGCCTGTTGACTCTGGCAGCTGGCAAGCAGATTGATGGGCCGTTTCAAGTTCTGACCTTTACAACAAAGAGCTCTTGGTAACCATTTATTAGATCCCAAAAATAGGCTTCTGTTCATTTTTTATTGATATTATCTGCCACAAGTCTTATCTCTATTGCCCCAGAACTGTAAATTTGGATTAGAAAACTGAATAAACACAAATAAGGAAAATTAATTTGTTTTTTTTTCCCTGTGTTCTGTTCCTGTGTCTATAGGTAAAGGTATTTCCTTTCTTCTCTTTGCAGTTAGAAGGAGAAGAAGCCTTCAATTTTGTGCAACAAAAATACTGAACATGCAAGAAAGGAGCATCATAGAATCAAAGTAATAGAACAAACCTTACAGAAGTCAGTCATGTGGTTTTTGCCTGCCAGAGATTATTTCTGGGCTAGTGTCTAAGCAGAATGATTACACAGGACATATGCCTACACACGAAGGAATAGGAGGGGGAGTCAGTGTAATGCTTTCATTTGGAGACCTTGATGCTTTTTTAAGGAAGGAACAGGATGAAGTAAATAAATGTGCTCCTAAGATACAGATTGATAGCTGTTTCTATTGAGAAGAAAATTGTTATTTATATATGTCATGATCTGTCTTTCTCATCAGCATACTTCTTCACATGAGAAAAAATGAAAAGTTTTCAGTATGATTTCCTACAGAAAAGCTACAGAGTTGTTCTGCCTGTCCTCTGCAGCAACATTTGAAGCTACTTGCAAACATTAAGCAATTACATCAGAGATCTCAAAGCTGCTGCAATTTGACAAGTAAGTGGCTGTAGATAAAGAGAGACAGACCCAGAGAAGTGCTCCTGTGGTAGCACTTAGCCTTTTTAGGTGTGATACACACCTCCCTTCTGGTGGGTCTGTATAGAAGTCCAGGCAGGAGCCTGCTGCGTTTTGCACATCTAGCCAGTGATAACTGGAGGTAGCAGGAGTGTGCTGGGGAAAGCGAGTGGCTAAAATACCTAACTAGAAGCGTGCGAAGCTGCTAGAAGCTGTGGATATTACAAAGAGGACAGAGAGAAGGCTGTATGAAGGTGATCCTGGGAGAGGATTAAAGATGTTGCAGAGGGAGAGTGCCAGAGACAGAAGAGCACTGGTAAGTCTGTTGAGGGATGCAGGTGAACATGGTGTGAGGAATCTGGAGGTACTGTATGTAGTGGCTGAGGACTGGGGTAAGTCCTGTAGCAGTGGAAGAGGTCTATGGCACAAAGGGGGAGACAGGACTGCTGCATTACTGGAGATTTGGAGAGTAGGTTACAAACTGGAGAATGCAAAGGATGCAGGCTACAGATCTGTAGGAGACTGGCCATCATTAGTTCCATTGCTTATGGAACAGCTCTATACTTCCTGCATATTTTTTTCCATTTTCTTTCAGTTAACAAGGGTTATCTCTATCATACCATTTTATATGGAAAATACCGTGAAATGTAAGTGTAATTGGTGTTCAACAAACCAATGTTCTCTTTTTTCTGAAACGATCCTCATCATAGCTGAAGTGTGTTGTGTTGTCAGGTCAGGAGGCCTGGGCTCGTAACCTGCCTCACTTCTTGAATGGGTGTAAAGAGGTGCATACAGTTAATCTGATACCTATCACTGGCTGAGAATAGGGGCATGTGTTTACATGTCTGGCCCTCACATGGTGTTTCTACTTTATATTAAATGCACTAGTGGTTTCTTTGCTGGATTATGGTTTGCAATATTACGATCAGGACTTTATCATGTCAAGATAAAATTTAGCTCTGCAGAGTCCCAGGTTTGTTTTTATATTTCCAAGTCTCTGAAATAAGAAGCAGCTATACAATCTAAGACCTCCTTAAAAGTACTAAATGAGTGCACTGCTAGCTGAGCTGGCCAACTAAACTAGGTATTTATGCAAATATTGTAACTGTGGTTAAGCTGATTGTGTTTGAATATATAGTGATTATGGCCAGCGGTTGCAAGGAAGTATGACAAAGGCCGTGTGCAGTCTCCAAAGTATGAGCCAATAAACTGCTTTGGCCAGAAGTTTTATTATCTGAAATATGCAAGAGAAGTGGAATATGAAACTATACAAGAAAAAAGATACATAAATGGTATAGTAATCCTAAGTGCTTGGACATATGTTGTCTGTCTAATCTAGCACGTTCACAAAGTGCCTGTTGTGACTGGAATTTTACAGGGTCTGTCCCAAGCTGTATTTGTGCAGCACAGCAAATAGCTGCATTTGTAATAAATTAGAAGAATGTAAAAAATGTTAAATAGTGGTTTATTGCATATTTAGAATGAGAAATAACCTGTAAGTCTGCAGAGTAGTGTTAGTAAAAAATATTTTAAATAGTTGTGCCTCACAAAGGTAGCCATTCAAATACAATGTGTTCTGTCTACCAGAAGATGGTGCCCTAAAACACATTCGATAATTTCAAATTTTAAAAGCTGTGATCAGCTGCAAATCAGTATTGTGAAAAACAAGTCAGAGCAAGGTGATTTGCAAATGAATCACCCAAGTGCAAATATATATTAGTAATCAAACTCCACATTCCAAAAAGCTTGCTTATACTTGAGGTTATTACAATACAAATTCACATACCCAGACAAGCAAAGCAATATATACACAATATATTTATCAATTCAAAGAAAATAAAAACTTCAGTCCCCCCTTCCAAAATAAAAACACTTCTCAACATAATTTTTTCTATGAATTTCACAGGTTTTTTGTGTTTTGTTTTTTTTAATTGTGATTAAAAGAGACCAGAGAAAAAGAGTAATTATATCCCTCACCAAGAAACCAATCAATTTTAAATCTGGGAATCAGAACAGTAAATCCCTGAGTAATAATAAGTCTTATTTACCTTGTGGACTTCCAGGTATAATTTAATTGTTTTTTTAATGTTAAAGACAAGGAGGGAAATTGTAAAAAATGAGGTGGCATCCAATTCAATAAGCAAAAGTGTTGAGCAGCTTCAAATTGTTAAATTGATGAAGTGAGACAAAGAACACTCTCCTGTATTGTGTCAGTAAAACCACATCTGATACAACATACACCACTCCAGCAGCCAGAGGGATTTCTGCCACTGTCTTCAAGGGCTAAACTTCCACCAGTGAATTCTTACATTTACAGATTTTCTGCTTTGTTGGTAATAAAGTGTTTGCAATTTAGGGAGAGAGAATCCCAGCAGACCATCAAGTCTCCCTGCCTGTTGGCTTGGACAGTGTTTCCTTGAAGGCACTGGCAATTAGAAGAAACAGGAGTGCACTCCCTGTGAGGCCCAGCCAGCTGATATTCACAGATCAATAACTCCACCTGGCTTTTTTGCTCCCTTTAAGTCTTAGACAAAGAAGTTTATTTAACCAGGAGCAGCTGGCTTTCCTTAATATCTGATTTACTGATATAACTTAAAATCAGGTGTAAGGACTACCTCACCAAATCAAGAAATCAAGCTCAGCTTTTGTAATACTCTGTGGCAGCTCTTGTGCTCTTACCTGTGCAAGTGTGAGTCTGTAATATATACATTTTACTGTTGAAATTAAGCAAATATATTTAAAATAAAGTGGTGAGAAAGCCACATCAGGATTGTCAAGCTGTAATTGCCCAGTATTATGGGTTTTCTAGTACATAACAGTAAGGAAAATGATGGGGTACTTGTTACAGCAACAGCAGCTTTAACTCTACACTTTTTGTTTGCACAGCCTAGCACATATGGTCCTCTGCGAGGAACACAGCAGTGCTTGAGTGTGCTATGTACCACTGCAAACATATTTATTTCACCCATGTGGGCTACATCTGTGGCTACAGTGTGGATAAATGTTATGTTCATTATGTGTATGACAGAAGTACGATTTACTGGTGAAGAGCAGGTCTGCAGTATTGGCCTTGCAGCAGGGCTGAGATGGGAACACTGCAGGGATACTCTGGACCACGGCTGCAGCAAGCTCAGCTGGGTCTTGCTTTGAGGATTTGCTCATTGAGCTCAGGCTTTTCAACAGTAAAAGTAAGTGATTTTTATTATTTTATCCACAGTGCTCACTAAGAAGGGCTATTTCCTTAGCTTCCCCAGATTATCTCAGTCCACAGAATTTTCCCCATGAGTTAGTAATACAAAGCACGTTCTTTAAAGACTTATGTACCAAGAGGCTTACTGTAGAAACTTGCTACCTCCTGGCATCAGAAGCAGTATAGAACTATGCTAACTCAAAAGGTGGAACAAGGGCAGATTTGTGGCTCAGAAGGACAGAGCTCCTGCTGTAGCTTACACTTCTGACTTCACAGAGCATCAGCTCTGCAGTTCCTACTGCAACAACAGCTGCTCAAAATGCTTCCTTGCATAAGTGCACAGAGCCTCCCAATACATCCTACCCACTCTCCTAGATTAACAGGAAAGTTAACTAATGTGGTCAAGTTTTCTTACAAAATAACACAATCAAAAACTTGAATTAATTTTTCATTACTTGTGCTCTGATGGACCAAGTTCCCAGGTTGACCTTGAGCCTCTCCTTGTTTCTTAGGAAGACAACCTTATAAAAACTGGCAGTAAGTAGTTCAAAAGAACAGAAGAGAACATCCTAATACAGGCCCTTGGCACTACTGAAGAAGGAGCTCTGCACCTGTACACTTGAAGGCAGCTGCCCACAATGTACCCACTGCTCCAAATAAACTTTGTACAGGAGTCCCCTGGTGGGGCAGATGAGGGCTCAAGTTAATGGTGATTTCCATGTGCTCTGCTGAAGGAACCTCTGGTTTTGGCAAGTACGTGTATGTTCGTATTTGCACATGTATGTTCATATTGAAAGTGAATTACCTCTCCTATGTCTTAACAGATTTGCTTTTCAAGTCTTGCTCTGTACATTTACATGGTTTGTTGGATTATTTTTTTTTTCCCTTTGCTGTCCTTGCACATATAAACAAACAGATTGCCAATCAATTGCCCTCCACAGCCGGGGACATTTTTGAGTACACAGTTGCCTTTAATGTTTAATTAGGTATGATAACAGGATAAAATGTTCTTGGCAGAGCAGAATGCCTACAGCTCAAACTTGCAACATACTTCTCTCCTCACAGGGTGCTCAGCAGCCTGAGGACACCACAGGTACCTATTGCTGGCTTCATCAGCATTTCTACCATCAATACAAATGATCGTCAGGGATTTGCAGCTTAGTGGTGAAAAAAAAGCCCAAACCAACTGCAGACCGTGGTTCAGCATCAGAGGTGCCTGTTCACCAGCCCTTGGGGAGGTGGTTTTCGGCCAGCCCGTTGGGTGTGTGCACAGATGTCCCTGGCAGGCAGTGCTGGGGCTCCTTGCGGGATGCAGAGCAAGCTCTTGCAAAGTTACACAGACGGTAGCACGCTTTTGTAAACTCGTGTCAACTCATGGATTGCTTTAGGCCACAATATGTTTATCATGTGTCTTGGTGCTGCCTTTTTTTATAAGACTCAATAAATAACTGCAAATAACTCCCAGTCGCCGCGCTAAGAGCACAAGTCCTGTCGAGGGGCCGCCCGGCCGGGCCTGGGGACTGCACAGGTGGGAGTGCCCGGCAGCAGCGGGGC